AGTTAGAGACACAAAGACACAAAATGGGGTGGAGGGTAGAAGAAAACCAGTGAGGGAAAACTCAGAAAGACACAGTTACTGGGACAGTAAAACAAACAAACAAAAAGACACACACACACACACACACACACACAACTGAGAGAGACACCCAGGTTTATAAACACAGAGTCTTAAAAACAGATGGAAAATGTATGCAGAGCAAGGCCTATACAGAGAGGCCTGGAAACAAACACTCCTCACAATATATCATTCAAAGGGGACAAGGAGAGAACACTTTCAAAAACCACAGGAAGAGACAGATAGACAGCAAGGGAAAAAACTGTAAGGGACTGAAATAGATTTTGTGGGATGACCTTAAGCTGCACCTGTTTACTTTGACAGTGGTTATTAAAATACTATGACCTGTTGACATATAAGAACTTTCCAAAATTTTATGCTATAGCTAAGAGTGAGTTTCAAATGCCCTGCCTTATGTTATCTCACATCAGGACATGCTTACATGTCCCTAAAACTTGCAAATTTTTCAAGTTTTAAAAAGAGGGTGATGGTGATGTGTTATGGGAAAGATACTGGTCAAGGAGGAAGGAAACCTCAGTTTTGGTTTCAGTCTGAGAAGGATCAGTTGTCAAGCCACTTCTCTTCTCTAAACTTGTTTCCTCATCGCAGTGAGGTAATTGGGCTAGATTATATCTAGCTCTTTCCGTCTTAAATATTCTCTAACTCTTAATGCTGGCTTCCAGTGGTAATTTCTATATATTGCAGAATGTAGTAGGCTTTTTCTTCTAAAAATCCTAATGAAGGCAGCTTTGGGGAGCCAAAAGGATTTTCTAGCAGAGCTAGGAAATTATACTTCTAAGAGTTAAAAGTTATAAAAACCAAACTCATGCTTTTGCTCATGTGCAAAATCTTCAGAATCTACTAGAACAATAAAAGGTAACACCAAAATGAAAACTTAGTTTGTATTTTTAGTAGAGACAGGGGTTTCACTGTGCCGGCCAGCTGGTCTCGAACTTCTGACCTCCAGTGATCCACCTGCCTCTGCCTCCCAAAGTGCTAGGATTACAGGCATGAGCCACCACACCTGGTCTCTTTTCTTTCCTTCTGTTTATTCTAAACTTAGAAATCCTTTTTCCTTCAGAGAATTTACTCAAGATTCAATTCTATTATCCTCTGGTGTGTTGATAGCATGATTCTTGTGGTTCACTCTATGATTCTTGTGAAACAAATTTGCTTCTATTCTGAGAGGAGTTGTCTGCTTAACAACTTGCCTGGCTCCGGGGGGCTTACTAATGCCTTTTAGCTCCCTGCATTTTGACTCTCCTTACAACTCTCCTTAGAATCCAACAAAAAGAGATACAAAAGAAGTGACATGAAAATGTGAAGGGTTTAAACCATTTATTTCATATTGCTGACTTTTCCCATACATCTTTCCTTTCTGGTTACTACTTAAAATCAAGACAGAAGCACCTTAAAAATGGAAATAGCTAAACATTCTTGAACCTTTCAATCTTAGGAAGCCAGAACAGCCTCTAAAGTAGATAATGTCTACTGAGATCAAAGAGCCTCCCCTGGAGCAGAGTTTATTGTAGTCTGTAGTACAGGGAGATGAAGCTGCAGTGAAGTAAATGGGTCTTGTTACCACAGTGCTTTACAGAAGACATTAAGGAGTTTGGGTTTTGTCCTGAGGGTGTAGGGAGCCATCAAATTATTTGAAGAAGGAAAGTAACATAATTTGTACATTAATAATATTACTCTGGTTGCTGCTTGTAAATAAGTTGGAGGAGTAAGACTGGGAGCAAAAAGATGAGTTGGTCTCTTGCAGTAGTCATGGTGGTAGATGAAGATGGCCTCAGACTAAGGTAATGGTGGTAGGGGTTGAGATATTTAGCCAGGAGAACTGGCACAATTGGATGTGGGTTATGAAAGAGAAGGTGGGAATCACAATGGCATCCAGATTCCTGGCTTAGGAGGTGCCATTTCCTGGGGTGGGAAATATGATGGAAAGAGGCTTAGCTGGAAGGGGTTGGGGAAAGATGGTAAGTTCACGTTTGGATATTCTAAGTTTGAGGTACCTGTGGACACAGCAGGTGAGTGGTCAGTATCAGCTGGATAACTGGAAGGAGAAATCTGGGCTAGAACCAGAGCAACTAGACTTGAGCAAATTGTGCTTTTAGGCAATTAACTGGAAGCCAAAGAAATGATTCCTTATTTGCTGATGCCTTGCAGCAGGTCTATTTCCAGTGACAAGGCAAGCTTTAATCGGTTAGAGCCTCATTCACATTTCTTCAAATGTTCTTGTCAAGCATTTATTTGCTACTAAGCAGGACAGCCTCAACCTTCCCTAGGACCATTTTCCAGCATCCTTTAGCATGTTTGGCTTAGGACCAAGTTCCCACCCTCCTGCATCTTTATCCTTGCTGGAGATACACATACATGATACAGTTAAAGGACAAAACAGGTGTGACTGGGAGGTTCCAAGCCATTTGAGTTGCAGACCCTAGGTGCTGGGATCTAACTCCTAGTTTTCTCCTACAACTTCAAATGCCACCCTCCTCACTAAGGTTCTAAAAGCCAAAATGTGGATGAAGGAAAGCAAGCCTTTCTTTCTGAATACCACTGCTTGAAGCCATGCTGAAGTCAAGAGCCATTCAATCAGAAGAGCAGACCAAGTGGCTTAAGGTAAGGGCAGCCCCAGGTTCTCCTTGCTCTGGACTCAATCTTGCTTCCTTAGATGGTTAGCTGGTTGTTTCTTGCGTTAAACCATTCAGATCTTTCTTCAATTTCCTTGAAAACTGGGTTCCTTTGTCCTGCAGAAGAGATGTACACTGCCCACTATCGTTTCAACAGAGGGCAGTAGAGAACAACAAACAGCTTACATTTCTAAGACCAGAAGAAACAAAACAAACCCATTTCCAACATTCTCCCCAGGTCAAGGTACCCAAAATATGGCACACTGTGCTTCATGTGTTCATAAATGGGACATGTCTTTGTGAAGGAGGGCAGACCCCAGAGAGTCAGCGACTCGTACACCACCCTTCCTCTTGCGAACAACAGTTTAACTATGCGTAACTTATGGAAGGCTTTATGGAGAAGGAGTTTGATCTTGAAGGGTAAGTATGAGTTGGCAAGATAGCTTTGTTCACAGAAAGCAGCATGGGCTCAAACATGGAAACAGCATGGCAAACTTGGGGAAGTTTGGAATAGGATTGGGGTGGGGGCAGCCATGATATTTACATACACTCTCAGATGCTATGTGCCATCCTGAAGTGTTTGTATGTCACTTTGAAAGATTTAACATCATCCCGAAAGCAATGGAAAGTCATTAAAGAATTTTGAGCAGGGTGGTGATCTGACCTGTTAGGCAATTTGAGATTTTTTTGTTTGTTTTTAATTGAGGTATATTATGGTCTTGTCGATCTTTTAAACTTTAGCTAATCAGGTGGGTATGTAGTGATACTGTGTTTTTAATGTGCATTTCCCTAATAAGTAATGACTTATTGAGGATGTTTCCATGTACGTATTTGGCCATTTGGATAGCCTCTTTTATGATGATTCTGTTTAAGTCTTTCGCACACTTATGAATTAGCTTATCTTCCTCTCATTGATTTTTAGTAGTTCTTTATGTATTTTAGATATGTTTTTTGTCAATACACCTATTACAAATATTTTCTCCTATTCTGTGGCTTGCCTACTCACTTTTTAAATGATGTCTTACTTTTTTTTTTTTTTTTTTTTAGAGACGGGGTTTCACCATGTTGACCAGGATGGTCTTGATCTCTTGACCTCGTGATCCACCCACCTCGGCCTCCCAAAGTGCTGGGATTACAGGCTTGAACCACCGCGCCTGGCCACGTCTATCTTTAATTAACTAGATAATGAGCCCTGCCTAAGCAGGACATCAAAAAAATTCAGCCATAAACTCATAATTGTTTCTCTCCACGGAAATCTTTAGTAAAAGGCGAAAGATTTATTCGTTATGAAGAGAAACCAGAGCATCTTGCTCTGTCACCCAGGCTAGAGTGCAGTGGCACAAGTTTAGCTCACTGTAACCTCCACCTCCCAGGTTCAAGTGATTCTCATGCCTCAGCCTCCAGAATAGCTGGGGCTACAGGCACATACCAGCACACCTGACTAATTTTTTTATTTTTGTTTAGTAGAGATGGAATTTCACCATGTTGGTCAGGCTGGAAAAAAATATTTTAAGCATTATATTTTGATAATGATTATACCAAGAATATATTTTATATTATTTGACAAAATTCATAATGTATATTTAGGAGATTAATGAATACAATTATGAAGGTCACTGAAACATGACTGTCTAAAACAAGTTAATAATGCATCCTACAGAAGACCATTTAGACATTACAATTTCTAACCTATAAAGTGGAACTCTAAATACCTTTTCACCATCTCAGTAGTAATTTCAGCCATAACACTTTTAGAAGGCTCAGAAGCCAACTCCCATACAATCGTAGTATTAACGAGGAAAGCACAGAGTGTCCAAGGAAGAGGATTGAAAGGAGAAATGTTATGAAACTCCTCTTTTACTTTTTTGCACGCCATCAAAATCACTGCCAAGAATATGAATGTCAGGTCAATTTCCATAGGAAAATCAGTTACCTTTTACCTCTTTAAAATAAAATTTTTGCAGAAGAGGGCTGAAAATTTCTTGAGCCATTTTAGCACAAAGAGTGGAAGTTCAGTTCTCACCATGGTACAGCTCTACCCTGCTGTCATCTTCATTGTGATGGTGGCATAAGTTTAGCAAGGTGCAAGTGACCACTAAATGACAGCTTTTTGTCAACAAACATTTGAAAAATCTTTTTGAAAACCATATGAAAGATGAATTGGAATGGAGCAAGACTGAGGCAGGAAGACTAGTTAAGAGCTTGTTTCCGGCCGGGGGCGGTGGCTCACGCCTATAATCCCAGCACTTTGGGAGGCCGAGGGGGGTGGATCACGAGGTCAAGAGATCGAGACCATCCTGGTCAACATGG